CTCACTGAGCTTTTGCGAGGACAATATATCAAATGCTCAGCAAGCAACCAAAAATATTACCTACAAACATGGGAAATATTGTTTTAAGAACAATGTCTTCCAAAATCGATGCCAAGTCATTTTAATTTTCTAAATAGGGCAGTGGTGTGGTGCTCTGATCTGGCGCCTCTGTGTGTGATTACTGAGCCTTTCCCCTTTCACAGTCTAACTGATTCTCCCAGCAGGGCCTCCAGGAATTACTGTCCTCCAAAATCTGCATATCTGTTCTCCATCGTATGTGTGGGCCTTCAAGAGAATTCTTCTCCTTTTTTCAGTCAAAGTGTCATCCAAAGTCTCCCCAGCTGACACTACAGATTCATAGCAGTCCCTTGCGCTGTGTCAGCATAGCCACAGCGCTCAGGACCTGACTGCAGTCCTCCTCCTAAACAGGGATAGTAGACTGTGACTTGGAGCAATACAGCAAAGTCCATTTTATCTGAAGGAAAATATTTTTTGCTATCGTTTTAAAATCCCTTCCTCAGGAGCTCAAAATGGTTTAAGAACTAAGCAATGGTAACATTTCAAATCTATCTAGAGACAAACAGTTGAAACAGGACGCAGAGCTGTTTTAACCAGGAAAGTGGCTTATGTGACCCAATAACCCCTAGAGATTGTCTCTTCCCTTTTTCTCTCTGTCTCTGTCTCTCGGTCTCTGTCTCTCTGTCTCTGTCTCTGTGTCTCTCTCTGTCTCTGTCTCTCTCTCTCTCTCTCTCTCTCTCTCTCTCTCTCTCTCTCTCTCTCTCTCTCTCTCTCTCTCTCTCTCTCTCTCTCTTTCTCTCACTTCTAGAGAAATCTTTAGTCTGGTCATCTATTGTTGGCAGCCAGAGCATACATAATAGTTTCTACTTTTCAAAAATTAATTCATTTACACCTGTGCACTTTTCAGCCATTCTGGGAACCTTCTGCCAACCTTGTAGTATTTAAAGGATGTGTATTTGGAAATGAGTGAAATGGAAGGAATTTGTAATTCTTAAAATCAAAGCATGACTTACCACATTGATGGCTACTAGAATCACAGTCAATGATAATCACATTATCAACATACTGGGAAGGGTCTCTGTACTATACATTATAGTATATGGATGGAGTACTTCAATGAGAAGTCTACCTTCTTCAGCAGAAGATTTAGAGTCATAGCTAAGAGAATTCTATTACTAATTTATATTACTTCATTGAAAGGGATAGTTAGTGCTTACATTGTTTAATCAATGTTGCATGGCTATATCTTGTAATCTGAACAACTACTTTGAAGATAACAGTATGCAATATAATAGCCATGATTAATTTTCTATCCTCTTGTTTTGAACTTCTGCATTGCTTTTATCATTTTCCCCATTAAAATGAATAAAGAGAAAAAGCAATACATGAAACAGAAAATCACATTGGGGGTACATGTATTCCAAGGGTTTCTGAAACACATCCCTTCTTCATAAACTGGAGCTTTAATTTCCACATACAAACAACATAACTCATTTCCATGCATAGGAGTTTCCTGTCTCCATCTCAACTTTGATTTGCTTTTGCCTGTTCTTGTTTTTTCCCTTGCCTAGTGAAATGCGATGGGCCTGTTGGAGGGTACATTTATTGTTTTAGGCATCATGCAATTTACTAAATGGTGTTCTGGTTATGGAAATGCTTGCAAAGAGCCCTCGGGGAAAAAGAATTAAGTAAACACATATTGATCATGCTGTAGCTGCTGCTCTCTTATTTGATCAGTTAAGGGTTCAGACTGAACTGGCCCATCTGATCTGTGTGATACATAGAGCTGGAGATGGTTTTCTGGCTCCCTGGTGATTTTCAGGGCCATGCAGTGGGAAAAACTGTTTTAAACAAAGTCTGATTTTTAAAGAAGCCTCAGCTGAGGATGGAATTCAAAGAATTTGAAGAGGAGGTGAAAGTGGAAGCAACCAACTTTAAAAGGTCTTGGGAATTTCGAGAGAATAAAGCAGCACATAAGGGAAGTAAAAGATGAATCCTAGTTGACCCGTGTGGAGACCAGACCCCAGGATGGCACTTTAGCAAGCACGGACTGCACAGTTGCAGTGTGTAGGGCTTGGAAAATAGGAAAACTGACACAGATCCTGCGAAGTCAGAAAACAAGCATTAGGATTCTATGACAACAAAGAAACTTGAGCTTTATGCAAATTCTAAATCCAAAAAAAGTAATGGATACATTCCATTTAATCCAAATAGACAAACTAAAAGCATTCTCTTGTGTTTCATTTTTAAATTCTACACTAACAATACTGATGTTAACCTAAGTAATACTGAAGAAATGATTGAGGAAAAATGTTTATTCCAAGCAGGGATGGAAGCTTCGGACTTTGCTGGGTCATAGTTATTCTCTTGTTTCCCAGTCCTTCATCTGCCCTCAGTTTGTGCTTATGTTGGACAACTGATTCTTGGCTCCTTTTCTTCCAAGAAATCAAAGATTTAAACAGGGACTCATGAGGCAAAGGAAACGAAAGAAGAATATTAAAGCATTTACATCCTAGTTGGTACAAACTGGCCAAGAGGAAAAATGGGAATTCAGAGATTGTGTTGGCTGACGATATCCTGAAATTTAGGAAGAAAGGGCAGACGGAACTAGCTTCTATTTTCTGGCGTGAAAGCTGAAAAAATGATAAAATCACTAAAAGTATAAGATAACTGTGGCAGATGACTGAGGTTGGGAATTGGAAAATGTGAACAGAGATGCAATAAGCTATACCTTGATACATTGAACTTAAGAGGCATCATCCTGAGGTGCTTAGAAATACAGACTGGGGCAACACTGAAATCCTGGAAGATGTAAAATAGTCTACAGTACCAAGAAATGAGGCTATGTATTGCTAAGGCATGGCCTCCGGTCACTAGAAGTACAGTTTATTCCATTTTTATTTCACAAGATGTATACCAAAAATTTATTATGCACTCACTGTTTATCAGGCCCTATGATAGGTGCTATTCGTGTAAAGACCAGCTCATTCCATACACTAAAAGGACATCCACATGGCACTACTGATGCATATTAAATTAGTGACCCCCAAACACATTGGACAGAGACCAGCATGCTGAAAGCTGGGAAGGAAAAGAACTTTGCTTCAGAGTGATACTTGGTGGAAAGCAGCAGGACGAGTAAAAGCCAATGAAGTCGAACTGGGCTGTGGAGTAGAGAGGGTGGGGAGGTCCTCTGTGTGCCTGAGCAGAGTTTAAGGAGTGTTCGGAGAGATAAAGAATCAGACAGGACTTTTAGGACTCCTTTAAGTCAAGGTTTCACTTCAGTTCAGTGGGAAGCCACTGCAGGATTTGAAAGAGTTCAGTGAGAAGGCCATGCTAAGCTCTGCTTCCAGGACAAAGATTCATTCACCTCGACACAGTGGATGTCGGTATAGGTCGATCACGGTGCTTTCAGATATTTAAAAAAAAAAAATGAAATTCTTCTTATTTTCCTTCCTTGGAATAATCATACCATCCCTTAGCTTTGTTCCATGACATAAAGGGTTGAACAGTTTCACATCATCTGAATAAACACTTCTGCTCTTGTGCCCCAAACTTGCTATTTGATAACTACTAACCTTATAACCCTGATAAATTAGACTGCAGGTTAAGCGCATAAAAATTTCCCATTGGAGTCTTGATGAATGTTTTCACTGTATCTTTAAGTAACATTCTGTGATCAGATGAGAAAATTTGGGATTTTAATAGAGTAGTATTGTTGCCCAGATGTTTTCCAACCGTAATATTACCATTATTGTTATTCTTGCTCTGTTTATGATGTCGCTACTCAAATCCATAAACCATTGTTTTGAGTTTTTAAAAGATCTTATGGCATAAGAGAGCACTCTTACTATCTCCTTCATATTAATTAGCTTACTACATCTCAGATAGGTTAAATCCTCATGCGAAGGTCATAAAGGTAATGAGAGAAGCAACAAGGGCTCCACTGAGACAGTACAATTTGAGAAGTTTTAAAGTCATGCCTGGATGAAAAGAAATGAGACTAGGGAGTAAAGCCACTTGCTAACTCTGGCATGGACATGGGTGGGCTGCTTTGCACAGCACAAGTTTCTGTGGGCGATATTATCCCTTCATTTCATTAGAAAATTGTGTAACTTAATAACACAGTGGTGACCAATAAGGGAGACCTTTTCCTACACGGGGATGTTTGGCAATTTTGAGAGATGCTTCTGGTATGCCAATCTGGGGGATTGCTGCTCCTAGAATCTTGTGAATAACAGTTGAGGATGCTACTGGGTAATCTACAGTCCAGAGGACAGGCCCTACAACTAATACTGTTTCTGTTGATCATCCATGATGCCCAGATGTAGATCACAGCTTAGCATAATTTGAAGGGGACCTCAAAGTGAGGAAAGACTCATGGCTCTGTCTTGCAAGCAGGGAATATTCAGTATGAAGAAGCACTTTCTGGGAATGGAGACAATAGCTGAGTTTCTATCATTCATTCATTCATTCATTCATTCATTCATTCATTCATAGAATCAGTTTTTATAGAATAACTTCTACATATCAGGAATTATGCTAGGCACTAGGAAGTAAGGAAAATAATATAAGGAAGATTCTTTGGAGCAAAAGCTATTACAAAAGGGTAGAGGCAAGGAAGGATGGTTGACCATTCAATCCCAGGCTGGGTGCCAAGACTGACCTGTTTTATTTTAGGAAGGAGGGAGAAAGCATGGCTGCTTTACAGGTAGGAGGAGAGCCATATCATACTGCCAGGACCACCTGATAACCTCTCTTTGTCCCATTTGTGGCTGACATATGCTGAGTCAACTGTAGGGTCAGATGGAGGAAAAGTAAGCAATACTTCCAGAAGGAGCACGGCCCAGTGATTCACGCATACGCGTGCATGTGTGAATTGGAAAGGACAAGCCGCTCGCGTTGCTTTTGAGTTGTGCCGCTGGCCTGTGAGGAGGTGTCCTGGCTTTTGTTTTTCCAGTAACAGCTTTTTCTGTTTGCAGCAGCCCTATGCACCAGCTCCCCACCCCATGGCTCCTCCCAGCCCCAGCACAAACAGCAGCAGCAACAACAGCAGCAGCAACAGCAGCGGGGAACAGTTGAGTAAAACCAACCTGTACATTCGAGGCCTTCCTCCAGGCACGACGGACCAGGACCTAATCAAGCTGTGTCAACCGTAAGTGTCCTTCTCCTCTCTGTGCCTTTTCTATCCACACGTGGCCGCACGGGCCGCGTTCGTGGCTGTGCCGATGTATCGATCTCCTGGTGTCTCCGTGAGGAGGACTCTTCTGAACAAGCAGGGCTGAAATTTGGGATGATATTTTAGCTGGTGTCAGGAAGCAGGGCTTGTTTCCTTGCTCCAGAGTGCTGACTGCTTCACCGATGTTGACTTGGAAGAGGAAGCGCCTTGCCACAGCGTGCTCCCACCCACATGGCCGCTTGGGTCAGAGGCGAGGTTCTTCTTAGCACGTGTTCGAGAAGGGAATCCCTTAAACTCTTAAGAGGCTGGTTGCAGGGTGATTACCTCCTGTGAGTCAGAGCTGTTTGGCCTAGCAGACAGGAAATTTGGGTTAGGCCTAAGTCACTGGAGAATTACGTGGTGAATTCTCCAGCTTCCTTGAAAACACTGTAGTCTGTGAGACTCTGCCCATGAAGGCTAAGAATTTATTCACCAAGAGAGCAGAAGAATACTTGGTAGGAAGTAGGGAGATGATTGAATCATCTTCCAAAACATTCCTATTAATTTATTATCTACCAGCACTTAAGATATTAGTTATCTCATTTCTGTGCAAATACATTAAACATTCTTAAGTCTTCCTTTCAAAGGAAATTAAAACTGAATAATGGATTATGATTCAGAGACCTGTATTTTTGGATCGCTGTCTAATTGTTTTCAAAATAATACCAGTACAGATATTTGTCACTTCATTGTGTCTTTGCCAGATATTTTTAAATTTTGGAAATGTGTTACTCAGTTGTGCTTTATTTTTTTGCAATGCTTTTCCAAAAAATTTGAGAGGATAATTGTTTTGTGTATTTTCTGGCTCTCAAAATATCAGAAGAGGAAAACACAATGAACAATATTTATTTGTTCTTCTTTTGGAGCTTATATTAAAACAACAGAAAGTAGTGCACTCATGTTTATAGCAACACAATTGCTCATAGCTAAATCTTGGACAAAACCCAAATGTCCAACAATTAAAGAATAAATTAAAAAGATGTGGTATTTTTATACAATGGAGTATTACTCAGCTATAAAAAAGATAAACTCAAAGCTTTTGTAGGTAAATGGATGCAACTAAAGATCGTACTCATAAGTGAAATAAATCAGACACACATGTGTAAACATTGTCCTGTCTCCCTGGAGTAAGGATCTGAAAAAGTAATTAGGATCTGAAAGTTGATATTGTGAAAGGAAAAGAAACTGTTCAAATGGAAGGAACAACTGCGATGAAAGGAAGAAAGAAGGAAGGAAGGGAGAAAGAAATGTGTATGTCTATACACAGGAGAACTTGGGTATTTGTACATCTGATTTCTGCTGGTCTACTGAAAGGAGCAGTTAATGCTTAAATTTTTACTCTCCCTTCTTTTAATTTTTTAAAATAATTTTTGACCAATCTTACCAGCTCATATCTGGTAATCCAAACAACTAATGTAAAGACAACAATACACAATACCACAACCATTGTTAAATTCCTATCATTTTGTTTAATGAAATTCTGTATTGCTGATACTTTTTTTTTCTATTTTTATATTCACTTTAAAAATAAAACAATGGAAAGCAGCAGCTACATCAAAACAAATGTATAACTATACAATCTGTTAGGTTTACGTAATGACACTTTGCTACAGTATCTTAATTTTTGAAACTAAGTTTTGGGTATGGTTTTGATAATACATGTTCGCAGTCATCATAGAGACGTTTTACCTGTACATACTGTATCTTGATTCTTCTTTTCTCCCCACGCCCCTTATAAAACCTTTGTTTCCGTTTTCCTTTCTGTACTCTTCTCTCTTTTCCCTTCTTCCCTCCCCTCTCCCTCCTTTGTTCCCTTTTCCATTTGAACATTTTCTTCCTGCTTCCAACATTGACTTGTGAAAGAGATAATGGAGAACTTTGAAAGGGAAATGTTTATTTTTTAAAGTATTTTTATATTAAGAAATATGAAAAATGTCAATATTAAGGCATATGAATGGATGTTAGGATTTGATCTTTAAATACTAGAGTTCAGAACCAGAAGTTAAATATATCAACATTTTTTTTTATTTTAAGAAAAATCTGAAATATTTTGAGTAGTAAAGTCTATGTGACTATGAAAATCTTTGAACTTTGCAAAAGAAGCTTTCCATGAAGTCTCTCAATTAATAGATGCTGATTTTTGCAAAATGTGTTCTTACATTTCATTCATAAAAGATATTTGTGCTTATTGAGGAAAGATTTTCTCTGTTTGTTCCATAACACTTGCAGACCTTGATGAAAAGTAGATTTCTGGACCCAAAGGTTCTGATTTATTCTGGGTGTTGTGAGGCAGACCTGTAAACTTGTCACTTTAGGAGGCTGATTTGGGAGAATGGCAAGTTGGAGTTCAACTTGGACCATTTAGTGAGTTAGCAAGACCCTGTTCCCCAAAAAGAGATGTGGGGATGTTCAAGCTGAGGGTGTTGCTTAGTTCCAAAGAGTTGGATTTAATTCTTAGTAAGAGAGAGAGAGAGAGAGAGAGAGAGAGAGAGAGAGAGAGAGACAGAGACAGAGACAGGAAGCGATAAAAAGAGAAATTGGAAAAAAAGAAATTAAGACACAGTAGTTCTAGGGTGGAGCCAAACAGCATGCATTTCCCACAGTCTCCCTGGCAGTACAGACATTGCTGACCTCTGAGAAGCCTTTGTCACCAATCATGGGAGGACCACTAACTGCTTCTAGTTCATACAACTTCATCCCATTAACAAGAAGAGTTAAGACAGGCAGAACCTTAGGTGTCGAGACAGCTCATTAAACTTGTGATCCTGAAGTGTCACCTGGTTATTTTAGTCTCTGTTTCTCCCTTATTATGATGGAGTGGGCTTTGATTTTGTGTAGGCTTCTGCATAGTATTAGCAGTGTGTTGAGGCTGACTGAAACTTGTACACTAGATACAATTTTTAAATATTGAATTATTTTGTTATAAACCTGGAACTTGAAATTGGAAAGGATGGGAATATTTTCTTAACACAGTAATTAGAAAATTCCACAAGTCAGACTTATTTTTAAATTTCATGTTATCGGAGAGTAGTTTTTATAAATATACCACCAGTGTAGCATCACATCATAAATCTCTGTCAATATCTATTTCTGTGAGGAATTGCCAGAATTTTATAAATGTAAAGTATTACCAAAAAGTCTGTGTTGGCAGGAAAGAGATATGGAAACACTACTATCTAGTATACAGATTTTTTTGTCAATGTTTCATATTACATTTGAGAAATTTATAAAATGCTAAGTGAATGGAGGGTTAGGGTTACTGCTACACATCATTAGTTACTAGATAATAAAACATGGCGAGCATTATATGTGATTATAAAGGTGTCTGTGAGTCTCCAGTTATTAAAGTAATCTGACCATGATGAACATTGTTTAGATTATTTTTTCCTAGAGAATCTTACAGAATTGATGTGATCAAGAGATGAAAATTTTTGTGCACTAAAATATCTAGGTTTTAGCCCTGGCTGTGTCATTAGCAGAGTTTGTGGTCTTAGATAAATGACTTGGTCTTTTTTTTTTTAACTTTGGTTCCTTCGTGTATCTGTAATAATCTATTTACATTTATTTCACCTAAAATTCTGGTGTTTTAGGGCATCATTATGTGCCATCAGACTTTCTCTGGACAATCTTTTATGACTTCTACTAATCATAATATAGGGCTGACAGACCACAATCTGAATTGACTCAACTACATGCATGTTACATGGTAGCTGGATAAGTTTTGGGTAAGAGACCAAAGTATGATGTGCAAAACCTTGTCACTTGTCTTGTGGCATTGGTCTCACACAACGTCATTATTTTACCTTAATAATCTAAAAATAAAATAATTATGTATTCCCATTATTCATTCAATATTTCAAAATAATTTCTCCAAAAAAACAGATATTGGTAGACTTAAATAAATTTTGCATGGGATCCATTTTCCATATTAATTTCTATAAGATTATAACTTTCTTTTAAAGATAATACTGCTTAGAGGAAATGCAATTTTACTAACATTCATATTAATAAAATAATAAAAAACAGATGCACAAAAGAAGACATAACTGTATTGAATTTTCTAGGATTAGTATATAATATCCACATTAATGCTAATGAACAGGAAGTAAATAATATTAAGGAAAATAGAAATTGTATTTTTCAATGTGTAATGTGAGAGCTAATTCTTGTTATGGAATTCTATTCATATTTATCATCAAATTTTCTATATTCAGATTTTAAGTTGAATCAAGAAAAGACAAAATTGAAGATTAGAATTCACTCTATAAAAAATTAACTCCATTTATACTATTTTAGATCAAAATGCTACATTACATATACTGGAAGAAATCATATACGAAGACCTTAAGGAAATGTATTATATTCTCAATAAAGAAATATTTAGAGAGGCTGGTGAGATAGTTCAGCAGACTAAGTCGCCTGCTTAGGTAACCTTAGAAAAGTGCAGGGACCTTGGTTCAATCCTTGGCACACCACCAGCTGGCTGGCTGAGCCAGCTGAGTCCTGGTGTAGTGTTGTATGCCTGTAATCCCAGCCCTGGGGAAGCTGAAAACAGAAGGATCACTATGGTTCTCAGCTGCATAGTGAGACCCTGTAACAACACAATACATTAAAAAAAGAAAGAAATATTTACAGAATGCCTGTAGCATGCTTATTTTGAGGAATAGGAAGTAAGTAAATCTAGATAAAGGCCTTGCCTTAGTAAAATTTATAGTGGGCTAGGAGAAGTATGAATTAACTAATCATATGAATTCATATAAAATTGTGAATATAAAATGCAAAACTAAGAGAAGCAAGATATATTTCAAAGATAATCTCAGTTGAAAACATGAGATTACATGCTGTCATCTTTTAGTGATTACTGAGCAGGGAACAGTAAGATTATTTTACCTCTGTGAGGAAGGAAAGGGAAACCTTTCTAGGTGGAGGGAATTTCA